TCTTAACTGAAGACATGTCTACAGTAAAAATCTGATTATAAGATTTATGTGAAATTGTGTTCATTAGTTTTGGAGTTTTATTTAAATCTAAGTTATACATTTTGGATGTTGTGTTGCGTGATTATACACAATACCTTCTCCATATAATGATAACTATGTTCTTTTAGCATTTCAAGGAAAATAATGGCTGTAATAACTACATAACATGGCTTTTGAAAAATTATAATAAAGTAAAGTGTCTATAAAGTGTAATAATGATACATGTAATGAAAGTAGTTTATCTGCCATAATGGAGGTGAGGCTCAGTGTATTGGAAGCACTCCTCCGCTTCCCTGCAGTTCGCGAGCAGCCGGGAAGCCAGAGGGCTTCTGTAATAAGAGGTGTAGCCCTAAGCCCCCGGGTGCCATCCACACACAGTCCAGCCATATACCAGGTTTATACCCAGTCTGTTTAAAAATCGAGCGACAGTGCGCTAAATTGGCAACACTGCAAGCTGTAAACACCCCCTAATAGAACCTGTTTGTGCTGGAAACTCCAACTCAGTGATGAGGCATTCGGCTGACTGGTGGTGGAAATGTGATCACTCAGTCAGTCAGGGACATTCCAGATTATAGTGCTGGCCCTGCTGTTGAGGTCCAGCCAAAAATGACAAGTCTTCGGCTTTGACTTAAAACACCCAGGGAGTCTGCTGACCTGACTCTCAGGGGGAGACAGTCTGGGACCCAGGCTTTGTGGTTTCAGTCTTGAGTGAGGTAGGACTTCTAAGCTTTCCTCAGAGGACCTGAGGGGCCTAGCAGAGGTATAAGGCAAGTTTATTCAAGGCCTTATAGATGAGTAGGAGGATCTTGAAATGGATCCTAAACTGATCCTCTGTAGCATTTCAAAGTCTTTATCTTCAACATTTAAAGCATCTCCCTCCAACCAACAGGGCAGACTCACCCACTGTTCCACTCTGATGGCTCTTGAGAGAATATTTCATAGGCTAACGCTAACTGCTGAAAGAACTTTAAGGGTGGGGGTAAAGTAAACGCCAGAGACGGAGCAGCTCCCCGAAGAGACACCAGAGATAAAAACCCAGAAAGAAAAAAGATGATGTGAAAAATAAACGGTTAAAAAATCCACACCCGCTCCTCCAACGCCACTTAGCAAAAGTAATCTAGTTCCTCCTCTGAAATATTCATGAAGCTGTTTGGTGGGAGAGCAGTCCGAAGTCAAACACAGAAACACACTAAATATAGTCTGACTTGTGTGTGTGTCTGAGAGTGACGTTGTGTGTGTCTGTATACTGTAGGAGTGTGTGAGGGGTTCACAGCTTATATAACTACACTCTTCAGGAGTGTGCATGTGCCTTAGTGTGCTTTCTGTGCGTGTGTGTGGCCTCTGTCTTTGATCTGACACAGCTTTGTGCGAGCAGTGGACACGCACTCTGTTTAGTGTGTGTTTGTTTGTGTGTGTGTGATTGTATTTCGGTGTGAGACTAAGGTTATCCGTCTGTGCATCTGCTCAGCATGTGGAAAACTAGGGTCTATCAGGGGTAATGCTTTTTATGTGTGTGTGTGTGTGTGTGTGTGTGTGTTATTGTGCCTGTGTATATAATAGACTGTGTGTGTGTATATTATTTTGTGCACAGGCATAATTGTTTGCCTGCGTGTTGTGTATGTGTAATCTTGTGTACTTGTTTGACCAAAAAGACCCATCTTATCTAAAATTGCTGCAAAAAATTGCTCAAAATGACACATCCCCATTATGTGCCCCACCAAACACACACACACACACACACACACACACACACACACACACACACACACACACACACACACCTGCTCTGTAAGTGCGTTGCAGCCCACTGATCACAGCAGCTGCAGAAGTGACACCATACAATTGCGCTAACTTTCAGTCCACTTCATTTTGTCCATTTCCTCTGGCTATCAGCCGAACCATAGGAAGATATTCACACACACACACACACACACACACACACACACACTTATTATTTACAGATAAAGATAATTATATATAAACAAAAAGACTAGTGTAGTAATAGTAATAATTTTAAAACAATCCCAGTATGGGCCCTAGATCAAAGTATCCCTATGAAAGAGGGGGCCTCATATCCTGCAGAGCGACTCTCTATTCATGCACCACAGTCTTTGTTGATTTCTTTCAAAAATGCTTTACTTAATTTTAATATCTTAATCTTTTTTTAGAGGTACTCATGTTTTTTTTTTGCTGTTTCACCCTTGTCCCCGGTCACCCTGTGATCTGACATAATTTCCCAAATGCAAGTAACTTTTTTTATGTTCATCATTCGGGGCGATGCGTTCCTCCCTAGAAAAACCTGCCTGTCAAATTAGATCATGGTCAAGCGCTGAGGAGCCGGCCTCTCCGGTCACCCACAGATACGACCGTATCTTGGTACACCGCGAACTCCCAACCTTACTTTTCATGGTCAGCGTGTTTTACTAGCGTGATTTTGTCTGATATGTGGGGGAGCTGTAGCAGAATCAGGGCTCTGTCGGCTGCCTGTCACTGCCAAGGTTACAATAACGCCCCGGCAACAGGAGAGATTCATATTTCACAGCTCACAGAGTCTGACCCGCACCTTCCGGATGTTTTGAAGCATGTTTGCTCCCTGGACTAACAGTCTGGTTGCTGGACTGCAAAGAATAAAGGAAACTGTTCCGTTCAGGAGTTTCACCTTTGACCTACCGCAGAGGCACAGTGCAGCTTCAACTTCAACTTTTGGCCTGGTCAAGTTTCCCCGACTTGAGAATGCGGTACAACTCCTGCAGCCACCTTTGCCTCTAAAACTTGACATTTAATTGAAGTTGCCGGTGTCTGGATTTTCTTCAATACTGGCAGGAGTTTGACATGGTCATGTTTTTTTTTTTTTTTTCTCTCGACTCCTGCCTCCTGAGTTACATCCTTATGTAACCTGTTCATGTTTTCCAACTTTAAAACTTTGCCGGATTCCATTTCAAACTGTGAAACTCCCTCTGGAACACCAGGAAATCGGGGGGAGATTTCTATGTTTCTGTCTATTTCACTGTAATTTAGCTGTCAAATCTTTTTTTAAAGACTCTTCAGATGCATAGGTTGAAAGCTCATGAACAAATAATTGGCCGAGACTCTTTAAACACTTGAAAAACATTACCTGGTCGCCTCTCCAACCTCTCGTTGAAATGAGCTTGTTATAATGGAGTGGCAGAATATCTTGGAGTACAACATGTGTGTGAAACACCTGAAATTCTTGTACTTTTCTTTCTCTACCCCTCTCCTCAGCCTGAGAGCAGCTTTCCCCCTGCTCATCCAGGTATATGCATATTGGTAGCCTCTCTCAGTCGCTCTCTTCCTAACACTGTAATTATCTCCAACACTTGATAAAACCCTCAGGCTCTCTCCCTCTCTCAATCTCATTTTATTGCCATCGTTATATTGCACTTAATCATCCCTCTGTGCTTTACTCGCTTCAGTGTCTGATCTTTCCATCCTCATCTCACGCCTTCTCCTGTCATCCCTCTGTTTGTTTCTTCCTCTCTATTTCTCTTTCTGACCATCCTCTTCCGTTGCACTTTTTCCCCACTGTCTCTCTTTTTGCTGTTCTTCAAGCAAAATATGTTTTTCCTGTAAAAAGAATTGTCAGAAATAGCAAAATACTCGCTCTCTGCTTCCCTCCTCTGTCTCCTTTCTTCCATACCTAGTTTTACTTCAAGCTTGTTTACCCCCTCCACCTCCAATGGCTGCTCCGTCACAAAGCTCTGCTTTCATCTCAGACGGTTGCAGGTTTAATCTCACGCCTCTCTTTCTTGTGCACGCCCGCAAACGGACTGGATCCCCTTTGATGCTTTCACTCCATATACTGAAAGGTATATCCGGTTTTCAAGGATGCAGGAAGCCTACTGTACTTATTCACTTTGACATCTTCCTCCATCTGTGTCAAAGTGATGGAACGCCAGGGCAGCACTCTCAACTTTTCCATGTAAAGCCATGCAGCTACACACATAAATATTCATGTCTAAACTAATGGTTTACGATTGTAAACGATGGTCATGTCGCCCAACGGTGTGTTTACTCACACTTTCTTTTTGCAAAGTCTTCCACTGACCCCTGTTTCTTTGACTGTGTCGCATTATTAGGTGCACAAATTCCAGCTCATTAATTCATATTAGCCTCAGCACAGCAGGGCACCAACTGTGTGAGGGTCTTTGTGCTTCTGCTTCGGCTTTTTAACAGGAACAAACACGGGGGAAAGAATACACTGAATCAACACAACTCGGAGGTTCAGATGAAATAGCACTTCTGCAATGATCACATTGGTTACAGTGTTTTTGTTTTTCTTGCATTGGTCTTGGTTTTCATTGTCTTTGATACCCCTTATTATGGTGGCCCTGAGGGGTCAACGCACTGAAACTTAAGAAAACACAAGCAAATTCAGAAAACATCTTCATTAATTTGACAACACATGCACTGCAAATACACACGACACAACCAAAGACTGAAAAACACTGCAAATACACACAGGACACCAAATAGACAAACGCACGGCAAGTAGCACAAACGACAACGGAAATGTTTCTAGGGGAAACAAAAAAGTGACTCGGTTGTACTCAGCTGGGACGCACTTGTTCAATGCTTCGTGACTTTTGAAGTTAGTCAGTTTGCTTTATTATAAAAACGATGTCTCATGATTCAAGTATTACAGCTATCTCCTGTTAACTGAGTGCGTCCCAGCTGGGTTTGTCACTTTATGTGTTCCATGGAAAGACTTTTGTTGTTTTGTGAGAATTTGTTGTGCCTTTCTGTCTTTGGTTGTGCTGTGTGTGTTTGCAGTGCATGTGTTGTTAAATTGTTGAAGATGTTTTTTTGAGTTTTCATGTGTTTTTTTAAGTTGCGGTGTGTTGATTTCTCAGGGCCACCGTACCTTATAGACTGTAGATTTGTGGAAGTATTTGTGTTTTTAACAGGTTTCTCTGTATGTTTTGTGTGTCTTTATTTTCCAGGATGGTTGAATACTCGCTGGACCTACAGAACGTCAACTTTACCGCCATCAGAACAGTGAGAGTACTTCGGCCTCTCAAAGCTATAAACAGGGTGCCAAGTAAGTCACAGCACTTCAGACTGTTTTTTTCTTCTGTTACCAAAAATTATTCAAATGTATTATAATATAGTACTAAGCCCACTTTGGTTGCCAAGTCATGATAGGCCTTTGCTGTGTGTTCAGGACTGAGTTGATGCCAATATCAAGACATAATCAAATGAGTTTTGGTCAGTTTTGGTGGTTATCCATGTAATACTGTCTGTGGCTCTCATTCAGCACCACGGACAGCTGCCTGCCAGCTCAGCTCAGCCAGTGCAGCAGCTTGGTCGCTGTCCGAGGTGCTGAACAGGAGTCATTGAGGCACAAATACTTCAACTGTGAGCATGTTCAGATTAGATGGCAACAAGCTCCACTTATTACTCACTGGAGTGAGTGGGATTTGGCTTAGAGCTGATTAGAGCCATGATGATTTTTAACCACTGCAGTGTGCAACTTCATTTTATATAAAATCTGATATATACAGTATATACCATACTAAAATTATAACATACTTTTATCAGAAATACACTATCTCAGAAGTGAAATAAAAAGGCAGATTCATTTGTAAAGCGCCTTTCTAGAACCAGGCAATTCAAAATAAAGAAGAAGATAATATAGGCTGAAATGGAATAAGACAGATCAGACTTCACATTTTCTGGGTGTTTGTTCCAGATGTGTGGTGCATAACAAAACCAAATGCTACATCTCCACATTTAGATTTTACCTCTGGAGACGGTAAGCAAACCTGCCCAAGACGCTCTGAGAGGTCTGGAAGGTTCATAATGTAGCAGCAGAAGATATAAACTCATACTTAAATAAAATACAAAACACCAATATAAAATATTAAAGTGTTTCTACATACAGTGGTTGCTGGTTTGATTTTTGCATCAAGGAGAACTTTGTGTGCAAGAGTGTGTGCAAAAGGCCAATGTCATGTGTCATGTTCATGTCTCAGGTTTCAAATGGGAAATTAGTTTATTATACAGGGTATATTTTTAGTATTCAACTCTCATCACGACCTTCCACTAACCTCATGTTCTCTAAATCTCCTGTGACTCACCACACATGAACAGGCAGCTTGTTTAGTTGCCCGGGAGTCGATTATGCAGATAGCAACAATAGGTAATTCAGGTGGATACTTTACCTTTGTCTACTTTTGTGTTCACTTTTGGTTGAGCTTTTACTTTCAGGCAAGCATTTGAAATGACTAATAGCAAGTTAAGGTTCAAGCTTGTGCTACCAGTCTTGATATATGTTGTTTTCTGCATCTGCGTCTGTACAAGAGAACTGCCACAATCGTGAACATTTTGCAGAAATGTAAATATCGTTCTTCTTTATCCAAGAGAGATAAAATTTTGTAATGTCAAATACAGTAGTTGTATGTAAACAAGGACATCAGATTTATTTGGTGTTCTGTCAATCATCAGCAAACCCCAGAATACACAGATTATTTTTAGGCCTGTCAGAAGCAAAACTTTCACATCATGTCTGCTTGAGATAACATGGGGAGAGCGAGCGAGAAAGAGACAGCAGTCCATCCATGACTGACTCATAAGATTTTTACTTCACCAGGATATTTGGTGACTGTGAAGACATTTAATCTCCCCAAAGTAGCTTTAAATTTCACCTTGAACACTGATGCACACCATTTCCATCCATTTCAATGTTTGAGGTAGATAGATAGATACTGATCCTGTGAGGGAAATTGTCAATAGAATATTGATTAAGTTGATGTGGTTTAGACTTTAGATGATGTGTCGGCTCCAATTCAAAGTTGATGTATTCTCATTATATTTTCATTATCTGTACAATAGGAAAGACACAACTGCACCTGTCAAAATATAATTAAGGAAATCTTGAAATTATTAATTTACTACTGTAAAAGTGATACGTCAAGTTTTGGTTGTCATTGGAGAATAATTTCTAGTAATGTTATTGCCTGTTTCTTCAGTTTTTACTCATTAGCAATGTCATTCAATATCCATTTTCAGTTTGAAAATCTGCATGGATTGTATCCAAAAACCCAGCTCCTATCTTGTGTTATTGTCAGACCAGATCTGAATGTGGCTCCACCTCGCTCACAGATGTCTGCTGACATTAAAGGTGCACTTCACTAATGCTGCAGCGCTGACGCTACTTGTTCATTCTGGAGTAAATCTGCCACATGAATCCAGCGTCACTGTAACTGCAGCACCGTACATGCAACACGAAGCCCGACTGCCAAACGCAGCCCAGAAGCCTCATTGTCGTGGCTGTAATTATGTAATTTTGATAGTGTACCTGTTGTTTTCATGAGCAGGCCTGGTGGTTTACAGGTGCAGTTGATGCCTGTGAGCAAACTGACTCTGTCTTATGAATAATTTCAAACAGTGATAGACATCTGCACACAAATTAAAATGGATGGAGTGAAATTAAAAACGAAAGTCCTAACCCGGAGGTCGCATTTCATCTCTTGTGAGGGAACAAATTCCCGCGGACACCGAGGGCACAGGTGCTGTTTAAATTCCTGAAAAGTCGTGTCGTCCGTGGCGAAGCTGTTCTACCCGCGGCAACGTCTCCTCAGGACCCAGACCCATCACTGAAGCAATGATCAGACGCCAGTGAAGTGTTCTGAGCGCCCCGGCCCGTCACTTCAACTCCGAGAGCGCTGTTTTAGTCCCTGTCCTTTTTCTGATGAGAATAATCAGAGCTTGCTGCTTGTTGCCTTTGTGATTTCTGTGTCTAAATTGCGCCTCGCAGGCAATCATTTTAAGAAGCCACGAGTACTCCTCAGTCGGATATGCTGGTACTTGAGGTTAATGTTGTTTTGCTTCCTTTATAAGTATAATTGCTAAAGCCTCCCACTGCTCATAAATCTGCATCATAAACTATCTGAGTAATTTATATTTTTTTCCGTGTGTGGAAGCAGCTGCAGCCGGTTGGTCACAGAGAAATGTGTGTTGATAGCTGTGTTTGGCATTTAAACAGAGCATATATGAACATACACACATCGAGAGCACTTCTTTGTTGTGATCATCTGCATGTCTCTGTCTCTTCTCCCCCTCTGTTCAGCTCTTTCTGTCCATATCTTCCTCTCTCTTTTTTTTCTGCTTTGCATCTTTCAAGTCAGGGCCAACCTCTAATCTGCACTCCTCCCACTCTTTCTCCCACTTTCTTCACTTCCTCCCGTCTTATCCTCTCTATCCCTCCCTCCCTCCCTCTAAGCAGAGGCAGTCGTAACTCTTCCACGTCCCTGGAGAGCAGTTTGTTTCCAAAGGGAGACGTGGATGAAACTCATGTTGTCCTCTGGTGAATTGTGCATCAACAGTCAGGGAGGCAGAGCTGATCAGCTGGAACAGCCCGATCACACCCCTGTATTTCTGTGTGTTCTCATTGTCTGTCCATATCGTGATTGGAAAACACTGACGTACTGTAACGGCTCAGTCTTGAGAGCGTAGGTTTTCAGACCTTCATGATTTCAGCTCCTATCTTCATCTGTTCTCTTCCCTGATCACGCTTGAAGATCGCATAAAATGCGTTAATAGTTTCTCCCAAAAGGAATTTCGTATTACACAAAATCATTTTGTGACTGTCTTTCACACCGGTGGGGGGGGGGTTTGTCCCTGGTGTCCAAAACTTTTGCCCTTCACCCTTGGTCTTTGTAGCATGAAGCACCACTGTCTTCAGAGGTAATACTAACATGTTAGTGCTATGTACACACGAGAGTCAGACATTGTAGTGTATGAATAAAAACGTGAGAGGAGCGGGAGCAACAGTTACATAGTAAAAATTTTTTCCAGGTTTCGTCTTTAAACTGAAAACTGAGAAAAGAAAAGTGAGACCGTCAGTCGTCTCAGCAAATGCCAAAAAAATCCTCCAGCAGCAGTCGGAGTTGTGACCTCTTGTCCACTGGGAGCAAATGAGAAAGTCACTGTGACATTATTACGGAGGGAGAAGGTCGGGGTGGATGGATGAGAAATAAGATTGGACTCGGACATGAGAGACAGCTGTTCAAATCTCGTTTTCCTACCCACAGTCGACATCACTTTCGTTCAGCCACGGCCGCTGTGACCTACTGCGGCGGTTCACAACCTCCTCTGGCCCGGCTGAAAATCTCAAAAGATGCTGGCGGCCCACTTCTGACCCTGGAACAACACCGAGGCCAAACACTGCGTTCTCAGTGCACTTTTTACTTTAATGATAATGACTGAATATTCAGGACTGAAGTGAAAGCTGAGGAAACATGTAAGAAGCTCACTTGTCTCTTGACTCTCCTTTTAACTCTTCCTGCTGCTAACAGCGATCCACTTTGATACTTCTTGCCATGGATGGCAGCTTTTAATGAGCAATTAGGCAAAGACAGTGAAAAAAGTACATGATGTGGTCCGGCCGGCAACAACGTAAAAGCTCCTATCATTGGCTAATCACAGTTAATACAAAAAATAACGTTCATTAATACGAGAAAAGAAAAAGTTTCTCAACAATTAATGTTTTTAAAGATCATTTTGTTTTAAAACATTTAAAAAACATTATTTATATTTCATTTTTTATATGTAGAAATGCATCATTTCACCTAAATTGTACTGTTTTGCAAATGATTTGTCGGCGCAATACCTTCAGGGCCCTGGCCCACAGGTTGGGAACCACTGACCTAGTGCAATAACCAAGTAGTTGTTATTTTAACAGTGACAACAAAGGTCCCCTGACCTCAGTGAAGTAGTTATTTTAACTCAAACCACAATGTATTCCTTTATTTTTCTGCTAAACCTAAGCAAACCTTAACCATAGCACTGTCACGTCGCTATCAGGCCACGTTTTCTTCAGTTTTTCAAGCTTTCTATCAGAACAGAAACTCAACACTGACATCTGCATCGGCTGTGAACAGGCTGGCTGCTGCTTGGTTTGTTTGCCTCAACTTAACTGGACCTTAATCACAGAGGTGGCAGGAGAGGAAAATGCTTTATGAGTCATTTGTGTAACAGTCCCACGATCCACTGGCAAACAAGCGGTTTTATTTAAATGTACAAACAATATGTATCATT